CCCCCCCCCCCCCCCACTCACGTGCTCATTTGCACCAGGTCAGGACAGAGTTTGGGATTTGGTAGAGGTTAAGGGCTTTGGCTGGGGGTAGTCTCTGGAGTAGGGCCAGGGAGGAGAGGTTTGGGGTGCAGGAGGGGGTTTTGGAAAGGGGATGGGACCAAAGGGCTGAGATTGTGGGAGGGGGCTTTGGGCTGACACAGGAGGTTGCAGTGTGGGAGTGGGTATAGTCCCAGGGCTGGAGGGACAGGCTCTGGGGCAGGGGCAAAAATGAGAGGCTCAGGGAGGGGGATTCAGGTTGGGGACAAGGAGTTGGGGTTTGGGCTGTGGCTGCTGATGTGGGCTTCAGGGTGGAGCTGGGATGAGTGATTTGGGGTGCAGAAAAGGGCTCTGATCTGGGAGTTGGAAGAGGGTGAGGGGTGTGGACTCTGGCCTCACGGGGAGGTCTCAGGGATGAGGCAGAGGGTTGGGGCATGGGATGGTTCCAGGCAGTGCTCACATTGGGCTGCTCCCCACATATGGCAACATGGACCTCTGGCTGCCAGGCAAAGATATAGTCAAGTGACCCTACCCAGCCTCCCAGCCTCCACCCACACGTGGCACCCCTGCAGCCCCCAGTGGCTGCAGTTCTCAGCCAATGGGAGCTGTGTTGCTGGTATTCAGGCAGAGAGCAGATCCCTCATGGCTGTGCCTCCTCCTAGGAGCTGTAGGAACCGGTTGCTGCTTCTGGTCCCCTCAACCTCAGCCAAAGCCACTTCTCAGAGGGGGGAGAGAGCAAGAGAGACATCCCCAGGCACCCCTTGCCCTGCCCCGCCCCAGGAGGCACAAAGGGAGCAGCCAATGCACAAGTGCAGGTGGAGAGCAACTGGGCGTTGAATTGAACCCGGTTTGTTGTATGAAGTGTTAGTTGCATCTTCTCTGCTTTTTTCTTGCTGCTATTTCTGATTTTTACACCTCGTTGCCTGCAGTCACTGGAAACACTTCTCTTTGTAGCCAATCTGCTTGCTTTAGTGCTCTGTCTACACCTGGGTGCTTGAAATGGCGCAATTGGGCAACTCCGGTTTATCCAACCTGCTCCTAAATGTCTCCAGCAATTGAGTTTCCACAACCTCCCTTGGCAATTTATTGCCAATGTCAAGGGCTGGGCTTGAACCATTGACTATGAAATTAAGAGTTTCACATGCTGCTAACTGAGCTAGCTAGATCCCTTTCAGCTCAGTCCATAGAGAACATGAGAGTTACAGCCCACAGCTAGGAAGATGGCCAATGGCAGGATGGATGCAGCAGGGGTGGGCAATAATTTTTTGAAGTGGCCCTCGGCTGCCCTGGAAGGGGCGGGGTATCAAGCAGAAGGGGCGGGGGTGTGGGGGTGG